AATTCCTGTTTATCCCCCCCAAAGTCTAGGTCAAAAAGGCTTCTTAACCGCTTCTACCCCCAAGCCATAAGACTCTTGAACAGTTAATCAAATGGCTTCCCGGACTATTTGCATTGTTCCCACCCCACCCCCATTTTTACGCTGCTGCTACTCTGTTTATTATCCATACATAGTCACTTTACCTCTACCTACATGTACATATTACCTCAATTACCTCGACTAACCGGTGCCCCCGCACATTGACTCTGTACAGGAACCCCCTGTATATTGCCTCGCTACTGTTATTTTATTGTTGCTCCTTAATTCTTTGCTATATTTATTTCTTCTTTCTTAAAACTGCATTGTTGGTTAAGGGCTTGTAAGTAAGCATTTCACTGTAAAGTCTACACCTGTTGTATTCGGCACATGTGACAAATTACATTTTGATTTGTTCTAGAGTATTGTAAAGATAGGGGGTTGAATGGGACAGGCAATGTAACATCCATAATGTTTTTAGGAAAAGTATTTGTAAAACATGCACCTTACATTGGATCATCTTGAAACTTTCTCTCTAAAGCTAACTTTCATCAAGGTTTTATATAGTCTATTGGTTTCTCTCTTTTCATTGGCAGAATCATTTTTCAGTGTTATGATATTCATAACATCCATATCCACCAGTCTATCTTCATGTCAACTAACAGAACTCTGCTGGTTGTCCTGGTAACAGATACCAGTGGGCAGATCTATTTTATTTGTTTAAACTAAACTACAGCACTTACTTTGATGAGTCAGATCTGCTCCTTTCTTCTCTTCTCCTCCTCTCACAGTTCCACTCAGCCCCGTTGTTTTCCTGCAGTCCACCAGCCGCACAGACAACCTCTTCAGACCCAGCAGTAAGGTGCTACTGGGAGAGGTACGACACGGGGACTCTGGGAGGGCGGAAGGGCTAGTGTTGTCCTGGTAACCATATAGAGGGGACATAGACACATGTAATTATGGATGCTGATGTCACTGTTGTCATAAAGTGCTTTACAGAAACCCCAGACCCCGATAGAGCAAGCTGTATGCTAGACCAGACCAAGCTGTACCATCTGGTGTTCTGATCTGGAGAGACTCTTCTCTGCCTCGTCAGCATCAGGATGTTGTTGAGGCTCCCCAGAGGATCCATGATAGTCATGTCTCTCTCCTGTGTTAACGAGAACATCAAACAGATTGTAAACTCATGACCGTCTATTACGATCATAGGGTCTTACAAGAGGCATTAATATATCTAAGCAGGGCCTAAAATGGCCACGTTCATCATGATTTTATCAAATATTGTTTGTGATGCAAATGTAAAAGGGTCGTTCCACTAAATGGGTGCCTTTTGCGTCCCTTTGATATTTTAAGTAGAAATTACGCACCAATATTGAATTTTAAAAGCCTGTTATATTAGATGAGGTGCACTTTAATATAGACCACGTGGAGAATTCAATAAATCTATACATTTAAAAGTCCCAAAAATGCATGAACCAATGGCGGATTGCCTCTTTAACAATTCCTACAGTACTGAAGAACATATTCAAGTGTAGAACTAAAGTAGAATGCCCCTTTAAAACCACACATTAGCCTAGTTCAACAACTGCATAGTTTGTGCAAATGCTTTTAAGACAATAATCACTGGTGTTAACAGGACCTTCATTCTCCTCCTCCATTCCTTCCTCTCCTTTAAATTTAATATCCTCCTCTTCTTCTTCTTCTTTTACAATGATGTTCAGTCCAAGAGCTCCTTTCTCCGTATAGCTTAGTGAGCTCATGGTCGGGGATATTAGCTAGCTAGATAGTTAGCATTAGCGATTAGCCTAGTACAGTAACGTTATCAATTTAACAAATTAGCCAACTTCAATTAACAAGCAAATTACGTTTTGTTAACTAGTAAATACGTAAACAGAATTATGTTTAAAATCACTGACATTAATATACACAATATTGGTCTAAAGGTTTTATGTTCGCTAGCAAGCTACCGATGTGGAAGCTACCGAAATCAGTAGTATTTTGTCGCTGTTGAAGAAGACTCCTGTCCACTAGATTAAACGTCACTTAAGAAGCATCACCTGAAAGACTCACATCGCCATCTGCTGACTGGAGTAGGTAACACAGATTGGAACAATCTCTATTACATCGTTTATTCTGGCAAACAATGTCATAAGAAGTCATTTAAAAACATTCAGATGCTATGCATAGGCTGAGAGACGAATAGGAGGAATATCCTCTGAAAGGTACACCCCTGTAGCTCAGTTGGTAGAGCATGGTGCTTGCAACGCTAGGGTTGTGAGTTCGTTTCCCACGGGGGGCCAGTATGAAAATGTATGCAATCACTAACTGTAAGTCGTCTCTGATAGAACGCATGCCCCTTGCCAAGCAAAGTGACAACATGGGTTACTGTTACCCTTCACTTGACCAAGCAATTCGTCAGGGCTGACGCGCTTACATGGATAGGACGACAGATTTGCCAAATGGCAATGCAGAGCTCTAATTGACCATGCCCTATTCGCCAAACAAAGTGACACCACAGCCGCCCAAACATATTAAAAGTCTACCCTTTGCAAGAGGCACGTGACAAGGCTACGGTGACGATGCCCCTTTGCCAAAGGCAACGTGGACAGACGGGCTCTACCTGTGTAGACCGCATGCCCCTTTGCCAAAGGCAACGTGGACAGACAGGGCTCTCGTGTAGACCGCATGCCCCTTTGCCAAAGGCAACGTGGACAGACAGGGCTCTCCCTGTGTAGACCGCATGCCCCTTTGCCAAAGGCAAACGTGGACAGACAGGGCTCTACTGTGTAGACCGCATGCCCCTTTGGCCAAAGGCAACGTGGACAGACAGGGCTCTACCTGTGTAGACCGCATGCCCCTTTGCCAAAGGCAACGTGGACAGACAGGGCTCTACCTGTGTAGACCGCATGCCCCTTTGCCAAAGGCAACGTGGACAGACAGGGCTCTACCTGTGTAGACCGCATGCCCCTTTGCCAAAGGCAACGTGGACAGACAGGGCTCTACCTGTGTAGACCGCATGCCCCTTTGCCAAAGGCAACGTGGACAGACAGGGCTCTACCTGTGTAGACCGCATGCCCCTTTGCCAAAGGCAACGTGGACAGACAGGGCTCTACCTGTGTAGACCGCATGCCCCTTTGCCAAAGGCAACGTGGACAGACAGGGCTCTACCTGTGTAGACCGCATGCCCCTTTGCCAAAGGCAACGTGGACAGACAGGGCTCTACCTGTGTAGACCGCATGCCCTTTGCCAAAGGCAACGTGGACAGACAGGGCTCTACCTGTGTAGACCGCATGCCCCTTTGCCAAAGGCAACGTGGACAGACAGGGCTCTACCTGTGTAGACCGCATGCCCCTTTGCCAAAGGCAACGTGGACAGACAGGGCTCTACCTGTGTAGACCGCATGCCCCTTTGCCAAAGGCAACGTGGACAGACAGGGCTCTACCTGTGTAGACCGCATGCCCCTTTGCCAAAGGCAACGTGGACAGACAGGGCTCTACCTGTGTAGACCGCATGCCCCTTTGCCCTTCCAGTCTCTACAGTGCCCTTTTGGGTGGTACAATCTACATCAAGTCGACGTTAAATCTGCCTAAGGGATTTGTATTTACCCCACTGTAAATAACGGAAAAGTGGTGCGTGCATATGTATTCACCCCCTTTGCTATGAAGCCCCTAAATAAGATCTGGTGCAACCAATTACCTTCAGAAGTCACATAATTAGATAAATAAAGTCCACCTGTGTGCAATCTAAGTGTCACATGATCTCAGTATATATACACCTTTTCTGAAAGGCCCCAGAGTCTGTAACACCAACAAGCAAGGGGCACCACCAAGCAAGCGGCACCATGAAGACGAAGGAGCTCTCCAAACAGGTCAGGGACAAAGTTGTGGAGAAGTACAGATCAGGGTTGGGTTATAAAAAAATATCAAAAACTTTTAACATCCCACGGAGCACCATTAAATCCATTATTTAAAATTTTTAAAAATATGGCACCACAACAAACCTGACATGAGAGGGCCGCCCACCAAAACTCACGGACCAGGCAATGAGGGCATTAATCAGAAAGGCAACAAAGAGACCAAAGATAACCCTGAAGGAGCTGCAAAGCTCAACAGCGGAGATTGGAGTATCTGTCCATAGGACCACTTTAAGCCATACACTCCACAGAGCTGGGCTTTACGGAAGAGTGGCCAGCAAAAAGCCATTGCTTAAAAAAAGTAATAAGCAAACACGTTTGGTGTTCGCCAAAAGGCATGTGGGAGACTCCCCAAACATATGGAAGAAGGTACTCTGGTCAGATGAGACTAAAATTTAGCTTTTGGGCCATCAAGGAAAACGCTACAGATAATCAAGTGCTATTTGCATGTGATGCATTTGCTCTATTGTTTACAGGATGATTTGTATTTTATAGAGCGTGGCTTTAAGGGAATAGTATGGTCACATCTAGATAAAAACGAATGTGAAAAATGAACAGAGAATGTGTATTAACACACTGCCTATTCATAGAAGTATTTATTAATCTACATATTCATATTAAGCTTCTACGTCTGTGTACAGGAAAGTATTCTTTGTAAGACGTAAGAGAAAATATCAGCTTATTGTTCAATTATTACGACATTCTTTGCCAATACGAACGATGTAGTAAATATTGTTTCCAAACTGCGTTACCCACTCCAGTCAGCAGATGGCGATGTGCGTCTCTCAGGTGATGATTCTTGCGTGACGTATAATGGACTGGACGGGACTCTTCTTCAGCAACCACCTCGGTAGCCAACATAAAACCGAAATATTGACGCCATATATTTATATTTAGACCATATTTATGTACATTAGCTAATCTCAGTGTTTTAAACACCTTTCTGTTGACGTATCTACTGGTTAACTTTAACTTACTTTGCTTGTTCAATTTGCAAACTTGTTAAAGATTTATACTGATCCTAGCACTAGGCTAGTCGCTAATGCTAACTAACTAGCTAACATCCCTGACCATGAGCTCACTAAACTACTCCTCCCCTGCTAAAGAAGAGGAGGTCTGCTGTATGGAGAAAGAAGCCCTGGCGCTGAACATTGTCGTGAAAGTAGAAGAAGAAGAGAGGAGGAGACAGCAGATCAGATTAACACCAGTGAGTATTGTCTTAAAAACAGGGGCACAAACTATGCAGTTCTTGAACTAATGTGTGGTTTTAAAGGGGCATTCTACTGAAGTTATATACTTCAATATGTTGTTCAGTACTGTAGGAATTGTTTAAGGGGCAATCTGCCGTTGGTACATCTATTTTTGGGACTTTTAAATTGAATTCTCCATGTGGTCTACATTAAAGTGCACCTCATCTAATGTAACTGGCTATTAAAATTCAATATTGGTGCTTAATTTCTACTTAAAATATCAAAGGGCACCCATTTAGAGAACGACCCTTTTACATTTGCATCACAAACAATATTTTATAAAATCATGTTGAACGTGGCCATTTTAGGCCCTGCTTAGATATATTAATGCCTCTTTTAAGACTCTATGATTGTAATAGATCATAAGTTTACCATCTGTTTGATGTTCTCGTTCACACAGGAGAGAGACATGACTATCATGGATCCTCTGGCGAGCCTCAACAACATCCTGATACTGACGAGGCAGAGAAGAGTCTCTCCAGATCAGAACACCAGATGGTACAGCTTGGTCTGGTCTAGCATACGTCTTGCTCTGTCGGGGTCTGGGCTGGGTTTCTGTAAAGTACCATATGACAACAGTGACATCAGCATCCATAATGATATGTGTCTGTGTCCCCTCTATATGGTTACCAGGACAACGCTAGCCCTTCCTCCCTCCCAGAGTCCCCGTGTCGTACCTCTCCCAGTAGCACCTTACTGCTGGGTCTGAAGAGGTTGTCTGTGCGGCTGGTGGACTGCAGGAAAACAACGGGGCTGAGTGGAACTGTGAGAGGAGGAGAAGAGAAGAAAGGAGCAGATTTTACTAATCAAAGTAAGTGCTGCAGACATTCAGTAATCTTGCTCTGATTTGTCATCCTGAGGTCCCAGAGATAAAATGTAGCATAGTTTTGTTTGATAAAATCCAATTTTATATCCTAATACGATCCATGTTGTATACAGCGTTTTGCATGAATTCCAACTCTTTCAACTTGCAACAAAACAATTTTATTAAATCTAATTGGCAAAACGTTGTTTAACCCGGTCAAGTTCGGTTTCTGTGCAATCCTCAGACACTCTAGAAGGCAACCAAACTTGTTTCAGCATTCTACATTACGTATTTGCTACACAACATGTCAATTAGCCCATGAAGGTCAGCCATCATTACTCACCAATGAGACGAGCAGTGTTCACTTGATTGACAGTGTCTTGGTCCAATGACCTCCTATCGTTTTGAAACCTAGCCAGATAGCCAATGAGCTGGGCTTTCCAGCAGTATGTGAACACCCTTTGTACGACAAACAGCCATCAATCTAGAGCTGTGCGCAGCAGTGTTCGTTCTCTGGTGAAAGGAAACAGGAAGCACGGTAGTTTATGTTACGCAGCGGTTCATTCTCTGGTGAAAGGAAACAGGAAGCACGGTAGTTTACGTTACCCAGCGGTTCATTCTCTGGTGAAAGGAAACAGGAAGCACGGTAGTTTACGTTACGCAGCGATTCGTTCTATTCTTCAAATATTTCTCAAAACTGAAAAAGTAAAACATGGCTACTAAGAGTGGAAAAGCTAAATCGATGTCCAAGTATACAAATGTTGACGAATTTTGTTTGCAGAAATTGACTGGGAGAGTGACACAGAACGAATGGATGAGGACTCTGAGGGAGCACAGTTTAGATTCCAGCGGGAGAGTGACACAGAACGAATGGATGAGGACTTGTTGAGTGAGCACAGTTTTGACTGGGAGAGTGACACAGAACAAATAGATGAGGACTCTGTAAGTGAGCACAGTTTTGATTCCAGCGCAGAAGAAACATTTTTGGAAGGAAAAGATCCACGTTTAGATCAGTAAGTAAAATACGTTTTTGCTTCTCATGCTAATGCAGTTGTTTAAATGGTTGCATATTCATTTGAGATATTTTTATTTGATTTTATATATATATATATATATACACACACACACACAGTGGGGGGAAAAAAGTTTTTGATCCCCTGCTGATTTTGTACGTTTGCCCACTGACAAAGACATGATCAGTCTATAATTTTAATGGTAAGTTTATTTGAACAGTGAGAGACAGAATAACAACAAAAAAATCCAGAAAAACGCATGTCAAAAATGTTATAAATTGATTTGCATTTTAATGAGGGAAATACAGTGGGGGAAAAAAGTATTTAGTCAGCCACCAATTGTGCAAGTTATCCCACTTAAAAAGATGAGAGAGGCCTGTAATTTTCATCATAGGTACACGTCAACTTTGACAGACAAATTGAGAAAAGAAAATCCAGAAAATCACATTGTAGGATTTTTAATGAATTTATTTGCAAATTATGGTGGAAAATAAGTATTTGGTCAATAACAAAAGTTTCTCAATACTTTGTTATATACCCTTTGTTGGCAATGACACAGGTCAAACATTTTCTGTAAGTCTTCACAAGGTTTTCACACACTGTTGCTGGTATTTGGGCCCATTCCTCCATGCAGATCTCCTCTAGAGCAGTGATGTTTTGGGGCTGTCGCTGGGCAACACGGACTTTCAACTCCCTCCAAAGATTTTCTATGGGGTTGAGATCTGGAGACTGGCTAGGTCACTCCAGGACCTTGAAATGCTTCTTACGAAGCCACTCCTTCGTTGCCCGGGCGGTGTGTTTGGGATCATTGTCATGCTGAAAGACCCAGCCACGTTTCATCTTCAATGCCCTTGCTGATGGAAGGAGGTTTTCACTCAAAATCTCACGATACATGGCCCCATTCATTCTTTCCTTTACACGGATCAGTCGTCCTGGTCCCTTTGCAGAAAAACAGCCCCAAAGCATGATGTTTCCACCCCCATGCTACACAGTAGGTATGGTGTTCTTTGGATGCAACTCAGCATTCTTTGTCCTCCAAACACGACGAGTTGAGTTTTTACCAGAAAGTTCTATTTTGGTTTCATCTGACCATATGACATTCTCCCAATCCTCTTCTGGATCATCCAAATACACTCTAGCAAACTTCAGACGGGCCTGGACATGTACTGGCTTAAGCAGGGGGACACATCTGGCACTGCAGGATTTGAGTCCCTGGCGGCGTAGTGTGTTACTGATGGTAGGCTTTGTTAATTTGGTCCCAGCTCTCTGCAGGTCATTCACTAGGTCCCCCCGTGTGGTTCTGGGATTTTTGCTCACCGTTCTTGTGATCATTTTGACCCCACGGGGTGAGATCTTGCGTGGAGCCCCAGATCGAGGGAGATTATCAGTGGTCTTGTATGTCTTCCATTTCCTAATAATTGCTCCCACAGTTGATTTCTTCAAACCAAGCTGCTTACCTATTGCAGATTCAATCTTCCCAGCCTGGTGCAGGTCTACAATTTTGTTTCTGGTGTCCTTTGACAGCTCTTTGGTCTTGGCCATAGTGGAGTTTGGAGTGTGACTGTTTGAGGTTGTGGACAGGTGTCTTTTATACTGATAACAAGTTCAAACAGGTGCCATTAATACAGGTAACGAGTGGAGGACAGAGGAGCCTCTTAAAGAAGAAGTTACAGGTCTGTGAGAGCCAGAAATCTTGCTTGTTTGTAGGTGACCAAATACTTATTTTCCAGCATAATTTGCAAATAAATTCATTAAAAATCCTACAATGTGATTTTCTGGAATTTTTTTCTCTCAATTTGTCTGTCATAGTTGACGTGTACCTATGATGAAAATTACAGGCCTCTCTCATCTTTTTAAGTGGGAGAACTTGCACAATTGGTGGCTGACTAAATACTTTTTTTCCCCACTGTGTGTGTGTGTGTGTGTGTGTGTGTATGTGTATATATATATATATATATATAGACCTGAGGCATACAATGTATTAGCATAGCCTATGTGTATCTTCTGTTGGCTATGACATTCTGTGGTTTTTGAGTGTCTTATTGCCTATTGGTCCACATATTTTGTTATATTGATTGTGTTCCCCATCTTCTATATGATATATGTTTATAGATATGTGTTGTGTATTTGATGTATTGATGCAGGGCTCATCCGTAAAAGTATTAATTCAGAGCTCCTACTAAAATAAAGGTTAGATAAAATAAGTAATAGTAAACTTGAAATCTAACTGAATTTTTTTTAAATCCTCAATAGTTGGAGAGACTCTGACTCAGATGACCTCTGGGAGCCAACTCCAAAGAGACCACTTTCAAGTCCTCCATCCCCCACTCATTCAAACGTAGGAACTGAATCCTCCAGTCTGACCCCTGCTGCTGTCTCTGGCTCCACACCCACCACCGCCCGGCCATCTACAGGTGTGAAAAGGCCAGCCCAGAAGCGGATGAGGGCCAGTGCACCAGCTGCAACTACCACAGAGGGAGAGGAACGTTGGCACACTGTGCTAGAGGATGATGTGGAGCCACTTCCACCAACATTTCGACCTAAAAGGCAGCCAGGACCTCAGCTGGACATGACTGGGAAGTACAGCCCCCTTCATCTTTTCCAGATGTTTTTCTCCTTGTCCGTTCTTGATTCGCTGGTGTCTAACACCAACACGTATGGGGCTAAGAAGCAAGCAGGGAAGAAAGAGGCATGGAAGCCCATTTCCATCCAAGACCTCTACTGTTACATCTCACTGGTCATTTACATGGGGCTTGTGAAGTTGAAAAACGTGAAGGACTACTGGAGAAGCTCAAGACTCCACCAACTGCCTTTCCCCACCTCTGTCATGTCTTGTACCAGGTTTCTGACTATCTGGCGGGCGCTTCATATCAGTGACCCACAAGCTGACGACGACAATGAGAAGAAGAGGGGCACAGCGAGCTTTGACAGGCTCTGCAAAATCAAACCTCTGTACTCCAGCATTGTTGAGGCCTGCAAGACCCATTTTCACCCCGCCCAGAACCTGTCCATAGATGAGAGGATGGTAGCCTCAAAGGATATAATTAACCTCAAACAACATATGCGAAACAAGCCAACAAAATGTGCTTACAAACTGTTTGTTTTGGCCGATTCTGTGTGTGCCTACACTTGGAATTGTTTTGTTTACGAGGGGAAATCCGTCTCGGCCACCGGTAAGGGACTTAGTTATGATTCCGTTATGGAATTATTGGATTTTCCACTGCTGGGGACAGGCTACAAACTGTTTGTGGACAACTTTTACACAAGCCCTACCCTGTTTACAGACCTGAGGAAACTGAATGTATGGTCTTGTGGCGCCATTGGTCCCAACAGAGTGGGTTTTCCCAAAACAAAAGTAAACGACATGCCTAAGAGGGCTGGTAGGGGTGCCATGCGATGGATTCGTAAAGATGACCTGCTCTTTGTAAAGTGGATGGATACCAGAGAGGTGGTCATGTGCTCCAGTATCCACAAATCGTACAGTGGCGATCACGTCAGCAGGCGCGTGAAGGACGCTAATGGGGCATGGATCAAGAAAAATGTCCCCGTTCCAGCTGCTGTAAAGGATTACAACAAGAGCATGGGAGGTGTGGACCTGTCAGACACGCTGATAGGCTACAACAACGTTCTACACAAGAAAATGAAATGGTACAAGACATTGTTCTATCACTTCATCGACATTGCTGTGGTGAATGCATTCATCCTCCAGAAGGAAATGGCTAAGAGCTGCGGACAGACCCCCATAACACAGCTGGCCTTCAGAGAGCTGCTCGTCCAGGAGCTTGCTGACTACGGCACAAAGTCCACCGCGGCGGCACCTTCTGTCCCCTCTGCTCCTGCCACCGGTGGTGTTCACCTGCCGAAATACAGAAGTGCAGACCTGAATGTGCCTCAGGGCCAAAAGAGCACAGCGGGGAGGCGTCGTTGTATTCTGTGCCACAGGAAATCTCCCATCACCTGCACAACTTGTGCCGTTACCCTCTGCTTCACAGCGGAAAGAGACTGCTATGGGACTTGGCATCAGGAGCTCAGTCTTGTGTAGAGGACTGTGGGTAGTTCTTCGTACTCTAAATTGTAAATAGTGTGTAAATAGTTTTTTTTTCTTTCTCTCCACTGTGTGTGTGGTTTGTGTTGTGTTCAGTGTTGTGCTGCTACCTGGTCCTTATCTTAAATAGTTCCCTTCTGTGTTGGGAGGCTTTGGATCAGGGGTTCTCGTCTCCTGTTAGTTCCTTTTACGTAGGGAAGCTAATGATGCATCATGTATGACATTCCTGGGAGTGTGTGAACTTTTTAAATGTTTTATTACCATAGCATTTTTGTTATGTTCTCTATAGTTATGTACTTGAAAATTGACCAATTCGGCCACTTGGGTACATTTGCTAAATATCATGTAGCTCTCCATGCTAAATATCATGTAGCTCTCCATGCTAAATATCATGTAGCTCTCCATGCTAAATATCATGTACCTCTCCATGCTAAATATCATGTAGCTCTCCATGCTAAATATCATGTAGCTCTCTCATTCATGAATGAATCTGTCTGAATCTTTGCACACACAGTTGCCCTGTTGTGGACAACATCTAAATGACCCCCAGCTTCCTGTCTCAATGTATGGCCTTTCTTTTGCATTTGAAAGATTACGCAATAAAAATAGAAAATGCATGTTTTTTTTTTCGTTTTTTTTCTTTTACCAGATGTGTTATATTCTCCTACATGAATTTCACATCTCCACAAACTTTAAAAGTGTTTCCTTTAAAATAGTATCAAGAATATGCATATCCTTGCTTTAGGTCCTGAGTTACAGGCAGTTAGATTTGGGTCATTTTAGGCGGAAATTGAGATGAAGGGTCCTACCCAGAAGATGTTTTAACCTGACCCAACCATTCTCCTCCCTGTCCTGCTGGCTTTCACAGATTATGCCGTTGCTCTCCTGAAGTTGCCCGGTAATAGGCTAAACGAGGAGTCTGCAACCTTTCTCATGTGGAATGCATATTTATCTTACCATTTCTACCGATCTGCGTGCCAGTTATGGTTTTCATATGCACATTTTCGTGGAACATTTTCATTTCATTTATAATAACGTGTTCATATCTCTAAATCGTTGTCATGTGGTTGATCAAAATTCTATCCAAATCTAATGGAAAATGATACAAACCTAAAAAGTAACTTCCATTGCCAACTATGTAAAAATAGTCAGGGCATCCGATGATACGGCCTCTGCAGAAGGCATCCATTCATACTTTGGGGAATTGATAGACACTAGCAATCAAACGCAAACAATTCACACAATGAAGTTATGAAACAATGAATGTGCACAAATTGGCGGGAGAGAGTGCATTCTGGAGAGAGAAGGGCGTTGTGTATCCATCTGGACGCTGCATGGACAATCCGACGTCTGCATTTACCATGCATCATTTACGGTGAAACGGCCTCTGCAGAAGTCAGGGCATCCGGAGCTGTTGTGGAGGATGTGGGTTTGTGTTTATACAGGATGTACTGCCCCCACCTACCGTCAACCAATCATGTCAATGCCGCTGAAATTTCGAGTCTCATAGCAAAGGGTCTGAATACTTATGTAAATAAGGTATTTCAGTTCATTAATTTTTTTCTAAATTTGCAAAAATTTCTGCTAACCTGTTTTCGCTTTGTCATTATGGGGTATTGTGTGTAGATTGATGAGGGGGGAAAACAATTTAATCCATTTTAGAATAAGGCTGTAAGTTAACAAAATGTGGAAAAAGTCAAGGGGTCTGAATACTTTACGAATGCACTTTCAATATTCCCAAGAGACATATTCTAAATTCTGCTTCTAGCTCCTAAGCAACTTTGCAGTGTTTTTTTTTGTTGTGTTTGTTATTTCTTACATTATTAGCCCTGAACGTTTTTTGTGTTATTACATACAGCCGGAAATAACTTTTGGATACCAGCATTATGACTAGGAATACCACTTTCCCGAAATGGATCCTTTGTTCGTACCCCCTAGGGCAATTGAACATATCCCAGAGGCTGCTCCAAGATGCCGCCGACAGAGAAGAGGTATTCTGAGTGGACTTCTAGTCCGACTCAGAAGACATGCACACCATCCACCGCTTCTGAGTATATTACTCGCTAATGTTCTGTCTCTGGACAATAAAGTAGACGAGCTCAGGGTGACATCAGGGACTGTAACATACTCTGTTTCACGGAATCTTGGCTTTCTCCGGATATACTGTCCCTGTCCATACAGCCAGCTGGATTCTGTCACGAGAATTTCTATCTCAATGTTTCAAACGGAACACTTATATTGCTCAATCTGTTTCCCAGAGGTTGTACATCTCTAATAAACAGACAGAGTCTCCCAGCGTACAATTATCTGATCTTTATTCAGAGAGCGCTCTGCCCCAAAATGGGCGCACAGTCTTTTTATACTCACACATCAGATGAAAAATCCCACCCCGCTTTAGGCGGGCTGTATTTTTCCACTGTACACATATCAGTCTTTATCATATTCTTCTTGCAAGCTCACACAACAGCCTTTTGTTTCCTCTTGTAGCTGTTTCACACCTGGGTTTAGCTCATGTGGTTATCTTCTGTTTTCTTGATTATCAGGTCACACATACACAGACTTCCTTTACTGGTTTCACAAGACACAAATACTCTGTTGCTGGGCAAATATGCATCTTATATAAGCACATATGATTAACTCTCTAAGCTCTAGTCTTCTAATAGTCATATCTTATTAGTTTAACTGAGGGTGTGACATTTTAGTCATATCTTACTCACACATTTCTTTATCAGGTTCTCAGTACATCGCGCAGACAGGAATAAAGAACTCTCTGGGAAGAAGAAAGGCGGTGTTGTATGTTTCATAATTAACTACTCATGGTGTGATTGTGATAACGTACAGGAACTGAGGCTGCATTTATTGTAGCTGGGGATTTTAACAAAGCAAATTTGAGGAAAATGCAACCGAAGTTCTATCAACACATTGACTGTAGTCCTCTGTAGCTCAGCTGGTAGAGCACAGCGCTTATAACGCCAGGGTAGTGGGTTCGATCCCCGGGACCACCCATACACAAAAATGTATGCACGCATGACTGTAAGTCGCTTTGGATAAAAGCATCTGCTAAATGGCATATTATTATTATTATTATTATTACTGTAGTTCTCGCGCTGCTAAAACACTCGATCATGGCTACTCCCCCTTCCGGAATGCCTACAAGCCCTTCCCCCGCCCTCCCTTCGGCAAATCAGATCACGACTCCATTTTTCTCCTCCCTTCCTATAGGCAGAAACTCGAACAGGAAGTACCCGTGCTGAGGTCTATTAAACACTGGTCTGACTAATCGGCCTCATGCTTCAAGATTGTTTTGATCACGCGGACTGGGATATGTTCCGGGTAGCCTCTGAGAATAACATAGACATACACACGGACACGGTGATTGAGTTCATCAGGAAGTGTATAGGGGATGTTGTGCCCACGGTGACTATTAAAACCTACCTAAACCAGAAACCGTGGATAGCATTCGCCACAAAACTGAAAGTGCGAACCACTGCATTTAACCATGGCAAGGTGACTGGGAATATGGTCGAATACAAACCGTTTAGTTATTGGAGACAGGCAGAACTAATATTCAGTTTTAGTCAGGGTTGGGGTCAATTCCATTAAAAATCCAGTAAATTCAGGAAGTAAACTGAATTTCCAATTATCTTTATGGTTTTCAATGAGGAAAATGCGGAATTGGAATTTGGTTTACTTTCTGAATTGACTGGAACTCAACCCTGGTTTTTCTACAAAGCTGTCAGCATCATCGTTTAGTCAATCGATGTTATAATGCATATGTTCACAGATGTGCTTGTTCTCATTTAGAGTACATTTTCTAATTGAATAAAACAGAATTAAACAAATAAAATGTATTATGTACCTGAATAACTTGGACATGGATAATCTGGTTGATTCCCTGCTCAACATTTGACTGTGTCAAACTTTGCTGTGTGTCTAGCGCTGTCACTCCTGCCGTTAGGTTCCAACACCAGCGCTCCACCTTTGTCCTTGAGAGACTGGATGACGACTGCCTGCTCCCTCTTCCATAGTGAGAACACTGCTGGCTCGACATGGGCTTCTGAGAGACTGGATGACGGCTGCCTACTCCCTCTTCCATAGTGAGAACACTGCTGGCTCGACATGGGCTTCTGAGAGACTGGATGACGGCTGCCTGCTCCCTCTTCCATAGTGAGAACACTGCTGGCTCGACATGGGCTTCTGAGAGACTGGATGACGGCTGCCTGCTCCCTCTTCCATAGTGAGAACACTGCTGGCTCGACATGGGCTTCTGAGAGACTGGATGACGGCTGCCTACTCCCTCTTCCATAGTGAGAACACTGCTGGCTCGACATGGGCTTCTGAGAGACTGGATGACGGCTGCCTGCTCCCTCTTCCATAGTGAGAACACTGCTGGCTCAACATGGGCTTCCTGGTGATGAAAGGAAGTGTAGCGGTCAATGGTAGCCACTCCCATTGTGTGAAGCAGTTGTAGTCTTTGTTGGCATGTATCCAGACACCAGATTGGCAGTAGAAAGGAGCCTGTTCCTCACATGCTTCCTCCCAATCATTGGATGGCTCGACCACTCCCCCACATGACCAGCACTGCTGTCTGATCTCCGTCCCTGGAGTCTCTTCACTGTCTGATTTTCATTCCCACAGCCTTTATCTCCGTCCCTGGAGTATCTTCATTGTCTGATCTTCATTCCTACAGCCTTCATCACCATCCCTGGAGTCTCTTCACTGTCTGATCTTCATTCCCACAGCCTTCATCACCATCCCTGGAGTCTCTTCACTGTCTGATCTTCATTCCCACAGCCATACGCATATTTCAGATGTTCAGGTGTACTGAAACAGTGCAGGAATATCTAACAATACACGCAAATCCCCACAATTTATTTTAAGGATGAAGAAATATAGAAATAATAGAATGAGCAATGTCAGAGTCTGGTATATAAATATATACAGTTTGTTTACAATGTATATGATGGTGTGCATAGACATTATGGACCGTATATGAA